AGTAAGTTGCCATTGAAGTCCCAAACTGTACTGTCCAAATCCTCTGTCTGTTCCATCGAGCCACGCAGTCCACTGAGTCCTGCCCCAACCACTGCCTCCCCAGAAGACCTCGATCAAGTCATTTAGTCTCTGCTCTTCAGTCTCCTGAATTGGAGCTTCTGTTAAATCGGAAGTTAAAGCAGGTGATCTGTATGATATGCCGAATTTCTAAAATCGTGTAAGTCCTTCTTCCTGACTTTAATCACCAGGTCCCAGTAACGAACCGGTGCAGTGCTCATCTCTCTGAAGTGACTCAGTCATGCCTGCTGCGTAGAGGAGTGAGTGAATGAACTCTGTTCCCTTCTAGGAAGATGTTTTCCCACTTACTACAGCCTTTAGTACTCCTTTTCTTTAAGTCTAGCAATTAAGTTGGATTTCCCTAATGAAGAATTAAAATTTATTAAAAGCATTCTATGTTCAAACCACCAATACAGCATAGTAGGGTGTACAAAGATGAATAAAATTGTCTCCCAACTAATAGAGTGCTAATACCTTAACAGGAAGGATCAGTCATTTATCCAATTAAGGATAAAGGTGTATGTTTTATAGTGGCAAATTTTTTATGGGATTGAGATGAGAGGGAGCCTGTGTCTGTGAAAAACATAAGAGACTACACAGAAGAAGTACCATTTGAATGGATATTGAAGGATATTTAGTACTGTGACAATCAGCTATTGATCTTATATCCACAGAATTGGAGAACATGTTATATAGAATAAAAAGAAATAAAGAATAAAAGAAATAAAGAATAAAAAAATAAATTCACAGATAATTCAAAAATTCTTTTATATTTAGTACTTTGGTATATCACATAGTTCTCTGTACCAAATTATGTTAATTGGGCTAATACCAAATTACATTATGTTCAGAGAATACAAATAAAGGAAAGTTTGAGACAGATGCTGGAGAGCACATACATAATGAGGTACAGCCCTAGGAAAAGAAAATCTTGTGGCTAAGAGAGAGTTACACTTTACCCACCAGGAGAAGCATAGGTTTCTCCTCATTCGTCAATACCCACTGGTAGACAGAGACCACCCAGGGCAACAGTTCTCAAAGTGTGGTTCCTGGGCCAAAAGCATTGGCATCACCTGGGAACTTGTTGGAAATGCAAATTTTGGGGCCCCACCCTAGACCTGCTGAATCAGAAAACCTGGATGGGGATAATGTATATTTTCATATGCTCTCCGGGTTATTCTGATGCTCACTCAAGTTTGAGAACTATTGGTCCAAAGAACTATATAATTCTGTTGGATAAAATTCTGAGACTGGGTTCGGTTCCATAGAACATAATGCCATATTGATAAGCAAAGTCAGTCCCAGACAAAGGAGACAGGTATGGCAGACCACGAGCTGATAATGATCATCCCCGCTTAAATCCCCGTGGACATTCACGTGCTGCCTTACCTTGAGTGGGCTCTGGAACATACCCTGATCACTAACTTAAGACTTGTGACAATGAAGCAGAAATTAATATAGTCACAGTATAGGGAGGCATGCCACACACCAAAGTATAGAAAAAGAACTGACTGGGAGGGGGCTATTTTCTTAACAGATAACGATTAATCTTCCCAATAAATAAAAGACAACAGACAAGAAGAGTCACTGATGTTTATCAATGAAATGGGTGCTAGAACAGCACAGTTTATGCCTTAGACTCCTTATTAGGTCTTACACTTGGATAATACTAGGTTTACAGAACATAAAGCCAAATTGTTATATGATGTCTTAATTGTGATGAAACTATACAGATAGACATGACAATGGCTGGGATTAGAGCACAAACGACAGTGTCTCCTTTGGCCCTAAAACAGCGAGATATGGAGCAAACACGAAAACCCTATTGTTTCAGTCATTTTCTACTATACACAATGGCTTCTTCATCATCTACTAAGTTTACTGACCATCTACTAGGAATCTGCTGTAAGTGCATCAGTACGACATATCAACGGTGGTGTTCCCAGGTAACTTACGTCAATGATGGAGAAAGAACCAGAAAAGATGGGAAAAGTGGAAATGGGGCAGCTGGCCTGTAGAAGAGGTCCAGGGCCTGTGTGTACCCCCAAAGGTTTGGAGGTTTCCAAAAATTTAAAACAGAGCATGTTTTTTAAAGGTTTAGAACACTTTTTCCTAGTAAAGTTAAATACTCCCTCCATAGAACACACTTCTAATCGCCAGATAAGTTTTCAAAAAATAAGCTCAATAATGATCGCTATTCGACGGAAGCACCCACTGGACACTGTGCAGGTTCAGAGCAAGAGTCAGGACATCTGTGGGGGGTAACTGTACACTGGTTTATGATCGTGTTCCTTAGATGTTATTTCAGGTGTGAAATGCTATCCGGCCCCAATCATTAAAACTAGCATAAGAGATATATCTATTAAAATGCATACATTTACAACGATAGCACACGACAGAATACAAGAAGTTGCACAATTGATAGATAAGATATTACGATTTTGATAGAAAACAATATCTATCAATAGGTATAAAATGAGATTTTTTTCACTACTTTGAAGTCCTACAATTGAGAAAATACAAAAAGACACAGAAAGAGAGAGAGAAAGAGAGACTAATTTTATTTTCTTAAAAAAAGTGGGCATGTTTTATACAGCCCTGAAAGACAGAAGTCAGGCGAGATCAGATTGATGGAAGGATCCATGTCCCAAAACATGAGCAGTAGAGAGTCAAAGCAAAAAAGGTACCAGGGCGGAGGTGCGCTGGGAGGATGGGAGGGTGTGTGCCAGGAATTCTCCAAGCTTGGAGGCAGCAAATATGGAAAGCAGAAAATGGCCTGAGTGACTGTCAGGGTGGCTGGTTGGCCCAGCATACGCAAAGCCTCTGGGTGGGCCAGAACTGTCGTCTCCCCTTGGTGCCAAGCAATGACCAGCAAAGGCACTTGACTGCAAGCAGGAACAGTGAGCATGGGCAGTGACCCAGAGAGGAAGGCTTTCGGTAGCAGGTGATAACTAGGAGGAATGAGAAGGAGCCAGCCTGAACTACTGGCTCACCCTGTCCGGCTGCACGTCCCCACCCTCGTCACTCTCAGAGAAGGCAGGATGCAATAAGCAAAAATAGCATCCATAGACGGTGGAACAGGATCACACAAATAAAAAGATGAGCAGCAGACACAACCAGCTGATATCCAGGAGATAAAACACTGAACGGGAGATTTTAAATGTAGACTTAGTATTCTCAAAAACAAGATGGCATCATCTCATTCATGAAACAATAATAGGCTGTTATAAAAATGAAAACAATGACAACTCAATAGATAAATGTAATAGCACAATGGTAACCTGGAAGAAAACTGAGTAAGCTGGAAGACCAGGCTGAGATTTCTTCCCAAAAGGAAAAAGTCATGGGAAGAATGAGAAAGAAAAGCTAAGAGACTCAGAAGACAGAAGAAAGGGTCTAGGAGGCCCTTCCTTTGTTTCAGAGGTGTTTCAACACAGAGTCGAAAGGAAGCAGTAGGAGAAATTGGCCAAGACCTGGAGAAAGACACAAAATTCTTTAGAATATAAAGGTCCTGCCTACTAAGTAAAATAAATGAGAAAGATTGCAAAGGAAAAACAGACATGTTTGCCTACAATGAAATGTAAAACCTCTGAAGGCCAAAGGAGGCCATAAAAATGAGGGATAAGCAACAGACTAGGGGAAAAATATTTGCAACATACAATGAACAAATGTTAATGCTGAAAATTATTAAAAGTTACAAAAATTTAGAAGGAAAAGCTCAATTGAAAACTGGGGAAAGGATACAGAGAGAAATGCACAGAAGAGGAAATACAAGTGGCCACGTTCATCATGATCATAACCCAGGAAACGCAGTTGACACTCAACCTTTGAGACAGTTGAAAACTAAGGAGTGACAGAAGTAACTATTCAACAGTGACAAGACGGGGAACACATAAACAGTGTAGGAGAGGGCATACTTTGTACATTTTGGAGGGCAATTTGCCAGTCTCTCTCAAATTTAAAAACATGCATGCCGTGGATCCCAGACTTGCATTTCTAGGTTCTGTCCTAGCCGCTAACAACGATTAACTCTTATTAAGTGCTAGAAGCCAGATGTAGTTTTAAAGCCCTTTATATAAGTTACTATACATCCTCCTAAGAGCCTATAAGGTAGGTTAATATGACTACCCTCATTTTACAGGTAAGGAAACTAAGTCACAGAGTCAAGGAGCATTTTGTAAATCAAACAGCAAGAAATGGAGAAGCCAAGATTGGAGCCCAGGCAGCCTGGCTCCACTGTCTGCTCTTAAACACATGCTATCTTTTTTCTAAGATATATTCTTATCTATATCCGAAGGAATACATAGGATGTTCATTTATAGCATCATTTATACTGCTGAGAATGTAGGAACAAAACAGCTGTCATCAAGAGAGAAATAGATACCACTTCATACCACAGAATATTACGTAAAATTTAAAAGAAAGGCATGTTTACATAGAAAAGCATGATCACTCTTGAATATATTTTGGGAAGTAAAAAAAGCTTATAGCAGGATAACATGGACATTATAATATCATTTTAGTTCAAATATATATTTGTATGCATATATGTGTGTGTATGTACATGTATGCGTGTGTGTGTATAAAAGCACAGAAACAGGTAGAAAAGAACAAATCAATCACATACAAGGGACAGATGTTATCCTGAGGGAGGGGAGCCAGCGGGATTTTAGCACAGGAAGGAGGGGGGTTGAGAGGGCATTTCCATCTACGTGTATTATGCGATGAGGATGAGGATGGTTATTATGAATTTAATAGCAGAAAAGGACAGTAAGATTCAGTATGTCTAAATATTTGCTGCAAATTCTTCAACACTTGGAGAGGACTAGATTTGAGCTCTGCAAACCACGCTGAGATGGATAAGACTGACTGACAATGTTGATACAAGGGGAGAGAGAAAGAGGCCTGCAGACCACAAACAGAATAGCAGAGCCCGGCCTTACCACAGCGATCTCGGATGACCAGGTTCCGGCCCTCCTTCAGGTGTATGGTGAGGAGGTAGGCGAAAGGGCTGGGCAGATTACTCAAGCCATCTCCAGCTTCCCCGAGAGTCTGCACGGATGGAGAAGTAAGTTAGTCAGTTGTCTTGGGCCCAAGGAACGGAGTTTCAGAAACAGTTCTTAATGTAAGGAAAAATAACTGGTTCACTACAATGGCAAATCCGCAGGTGTCATCTCCCACTCCCACTCACTTTGATGACTTGGTTACACTGCTCTGTGAACTTGTTCTTTCCTATTTCTCTCCAGTGGGAGGCTATCAGAATTCAGAGGCCATCATGGCAATATCTTCACAATATTAACTTTTCAAGAAGGATTAGATAAGCAGTATAAATAAAACGCATTCATCTTCTGCAGGATTCTTTATGCTATAACTCATGGTGGAGCACCAAGAGGGGAAATAGCATGCAGAAGTGCAGCTGTGGGGCTGGCTCCCAGGAACACATGTCCACAATTCCAAACTCACATATAACACATCTCCCTCTTCTCCTCCCCACTTCCCACCAGGCCCCATCACCTCTGGTACACCTCCTCTGCCTGTAATAAAAACATTTCAGCTCACAACCACTCAGCTGATCGCCCACTGAGCTGCACGTCCATCCCACACAGGTGTCCACAGGTGACTCACTTTGGCTCTATCTAGCTCTCTCCCACCTTTTGCATATTTTTCTTTCATTTCCTGGCCCCCTCCATTGGGGTCCCCTCCTCTTACCCTCACAGTCTCACCTCCTCCCAATGCAGTTCACCTCCCTTTCCAGGAATGGGTCAACTCTTAAGGGTCATAATATCAAATTTGTTTATCTTTGAATATTTATTAAATGAATCCAATTAAAGCTTTGACCTAGAGTTTTGCACCAGTTCAAATTTTTGTCTTTCCAAAGAGAAAGGACAAATAAGATAATTTATCGTCCACTTATTTGATATTCACTTAATCGATCCCATGGCTAAGTCACTCTCGACAGCCTTCTTTTGAGAGTTTCCCTGTCTACGTTTCAAAGCACTTCAAAAGGGCTTTGCCGCCTGTACTACCTCCCTCAATTTCATGGCTGCTCTGTATTTTTAGAAGAATCTATCCCACTCTGACAAATCAATAGGCACTGAATTCATCTTGTCCAGCTATAATTCACAAGTCCTGTCTTTGTAAGTGGATACAATTCAGCATCCTTTAGAAATGAAAGAGGCAAAGACATACAGATCCAAACATTTGATAAAGAAATAGTTACAATATTTACTTGAGCGTTTGTTTGTTTTTAAGGACTGTCACTCACAGATTGTTCTTCAAATTGTTGGGATGTCAGAGAAGCACTTAGATCCCCACTTCCACATAGATTCTGGAAATAAAAAGAAAAAAATCCTGCTTTAAAGAAGCAAAAGAATTGCAACCTACAAGGATATCCTTTATCAGGTCTTTCCCTTTGAATCTGCCATCTGCACACTTAGTGTCAGACATGTGGGCTGCCTTTCTGTGTGTGTGTCTAGTCTTCGCAATACAAGGAGTCCATCTGGCTGCAGCCTCTGCCTTCTTAGTCATTGATCAGAGCATGGAGAAGGCCCATTTGGCTCTCCTGTTGGGATGTAGGCTTTCTCTCCTGCATCCTTTGTTCACCCAAGGTTTAATATTCGAGCAGCTTTGCTTGTAGCGAAGGAAGCCAGAGCAGCAGGGTCATCCCGTGAGGTCCCTCCCAGGGTGAGTCTGCCTGGCCCCCAGCCACCAGAGGGAAATGGCAGCTCAGGAACCAGAAAGGCCGGCGAGCTTATCAGTCAGGTAGGAAATGCTTTAAAACGTGATCTGAAAGAACCTTCTTCAAGCCATCCCTTCCTGAGTCTAGCAACTGTACACTTGCTAACCAAAAACTAGGAAATCCAAATTTCCTCATTAAAATATGCCTCAGAGACCCAGGAAACGATTCCACAGGGCAATGAAGCAAGCATCATTTAGTAGTTAGCAAGGGATACAGTAGACATCTCCTTTGTGACAGGCTTGATATGCACAAAGGAGGGACCCAGAGGAGCTCTGGGACTTTATGAAGGTTTCTGGACTAGATGTGAGTACGGCCACCTGCATGGAAAGGCAGAATGCAAGGGAGATGAGCAAACGGCCTCCTTGCATTTTGGGTATGTTCGTGTCTATGTGACACATTAGCTGGGGCTGATTATCTTGTGTAAAAAACAACAGATTTCTCCCTCCAAAGAAGGCTGGCTAACTCTGAAGTTATGGACAAATTTAGAGGTGGGCAGCAGCCCTGCAGAGATTGCTTAGATGACCATGAACCATTGCGGGTGGAGGTAGGGACCAGAAGCCCTGTGGTCCTTGGTCCTTCTCATCCACAGTAACCGTCAGGGAGGTCCTGGCACAATTCAGAGATCCTGCCTGGATGGCAGGCTGCCTTCCAAGACTCTCTTTGTCTCTCAGGTGGAACTTCAGGCAGTAACAGACCCAGGTTCCAGAGCAAGAGGGCAATTCTTTAGCCCCCAAGAGGGATGGTAAGGGCTGGAAACAGACAGAAGCGCTCTGGTCCATCCCCTCTGTACGCAGTGACATCAAGAAATGCTGCAACCAGGCAGAAATGAGCCCTGCTCACACATCAGCGTGGAGCCTCCCAAGCCCCCGCCATGAGGAGTGGAGGCCCTCTGGCCCTTCGCATCTGTGGTTCTCGCATCTGCATCTTCCTCCATCAGTCCCCAATCTAATGTCCCCTGACTGTGAATATTCTTCCACTCAGATTAATTCACACAGGATCATGGGTGATTTCACATCTCTAAGGGTCCCAGCACTTCAGTCACTAGAGCCCTCTGGCCCTGCAAGTACCACCACTGCCCAGCCAGGACAAGAGTCCTCTCAATGTGGGCTTGACCTGTTGGCAGACAGGAAAAGAGGCAGCAGCAGGCCCTTTCCTAAACCCCCTTCTGGTTCTGGGTGCCTCCTCTTTTGTCATTTGTAAAAAGACACCCAGGTGAGTTGGACAAGACCATCTGAAGACCACTTTATGACAACAATCAGAACCTTATTCAAGTCTCCCAATTTCGAAGATTTCTCCTCTTGCCTTTTACAGCACACGCTACTATTTCCTGAAAGCTCAGCAATTCCTCTTCTGCCTGATTTACAAAACCAAAACAGCCCAACCGCACCTTCACACGCAGAGTCAACAGGTAACACCTGCTCTGTGATCCTCGGCAGGCTGAACCCCCCTTAGTGTCTCCAGTTCATGAAATGAATCAGTGCTCCATTTAACCAACCTTGTTTGAAGGCAATTCCACAAAACTACTGGTGCTGGGATCAGAATATCTGTGTAAAGTGTGTGGTTATTAGCCGAGGACCATGGTGGTCGGGTGCCTTCCATTGTCAAACAGAAGAGTGGTGGGCTGGGGGCTGAAAAAGCACCACCTCTCAGACCAGCACACCATATACATTCCCCCAAGGTGGCCTCACCGGACTTAACGATAACGTTAATTAAGTGACAAAATTGGTCCACATCCCCACCATCAATTACACGCTATCAAAAATGAACACAGAGCTTTTATTCAAACACTCGGTAAGTCTTCCACTTACAACAATATGGAAATTAAATGTGAAGAACGACATTAATTCAATATTATGGCTGGTTTTACTCACAGAAAAGTCACAGAACTTAAAGTTATGGTTCCCACAGCCGCCGTAACTGTCACACACCATATATACACACCAAGGAAGGAAAGTGATCACCATAAAGAAGAACAGAAAAGCTACACAGGCACAGGAGGACCAAGTTACAGCCGTTGGGGGACACATAACTTTGAGTGTTCCCCTACACTCTGCATAGAGCCAAAGGAATTCGCCACCAAGTAGAAGCTGCATTATTTTCACCATCTTTGTAAACCTAGTAACTACATCAATGAGTTTTTCATTAAAAAGAACATAATTCATGTTTTCCTCCTCAGGAATTCCTGGTATCCTGCTATCATTGGGAGATTTTCTTGATGTTCTCAACAAGCATAATTGAGCACTGGGGTTTTTTTTAAATTTTACTTTAAAGAAAATACACAGTAAAATTGACTTTTTGCATGTGTGTACAATGCTATGACTTTTTAACAGATGTATGTATTTGTGTATCCACTACCACAATCAGGACACAGAACAGTTCTATCACCTCAGCCCAAAAGTCTCCTTCACGCTATCCCACTGTGGTCAAATCATCCCCCAACCCATGGCAAACACTGACCTGTTTTCACCATATAGTTTCATCTTTTCCAGAATATCTTAGAAATGGAATCATACAGTATGAAATCTTTTGACACTGGTGTCTTTCACTCAGTACGATGCTTCTGAAATCTACTCAAGTTGCTGTCTGTATCAAGAGTTCATTCCTTTTTATTGCTGAATAGTATTCCATGTATGGGTGTACCACAGTTTGTTTATCCATTAAGCATTAGTTTTAACAATTTCAAACAATTTCCAAGAACATACTCAGGAAAGGACAAATAATTTTGAATACCATCAATGATGAAAAGTCTTCGTATGACAAAACTGCCTAATTGCATACAAACATTCAGAAATACAGCATTAACATCTGGGCATGAAAATTAGTAAGCGGTTAGTCATCTCTCACACAACTCTCACTGCCACCTTGCAGATAAGCAGTTTCTGCGTGTGTGTGTGTGTGTGTGTGTGTTTCACGACAGCAAATTTGCATTGATATTTCCATTCTACCTTGTTAAACTGAAATGTATGGGAAGGAAATACATCCTTTGCATTCTCTTTACATGAGAATCCCCAATCTGCAAGAATGCAAATTTATTAAAATTCAACAGGATATGGGAAGATATTAGAATAGATGGGTTGATTATTTAAGGACCGTAAGAGCAAGATATTGATGTAGATAAACAACATTTTCCTTTTGTGTACACGAAATGTGATCTTATACAATTACCAGCTCCCATGTGCCTGTCCAAAGGATCTCACCATGAAGAACACGCAGGAAGCTGAATTATAAACAATCCAAGCAATCACTGGATGTTTAAACTTCAGTGGAAGAAGACATAAACCCACACCCAGGAGAGCTAAATAAGAGTAAAAGGTTGGTTGAGAAGATCACTTATATAGTCTTTGAAAAATACTCTGTTAAAATATATGAGTATAGTAAATGATATTTATAATACATATTTGCTTCATGACTTAGCCCACATCTAGGTTGTCGAGAACATGAACACTTTGGATGATAGTAGTCATAAACACAAATACCTACAGGGCAAAGGAAGCAGCAAAATGAGCAAAGGAGGTCAGACGGCTAGACAGACCATTAAGCCATGCCTGGACGCAGTGATAGACTCAAGACCCATATGGCAATTCCAGGTCAAAACTGGAATGTCTGGTCAGAAAAATTCAGGTCGACCAGATGGCTGAGTCTACTCACATTCAGTCTTTACACACCTTTTTGGGAGGTTATTGATCATACAACAAAGGTATACATATTTAGTTTTCCCCCACCCCTAAGGTTGTTCTCTAAAAGTGGTTACCCTAGAATATTGTCTAATATACAAAATATAAGCCACATGTATGTGTAAGTGCACGTGTGCATATACCCTACTCAATCACAGTGGGAGATGAAGCTCTGGAGTCAGCAAGACCTGGATTCAAATTCCACTTCTATTACTTCCTAGTTTTGTGTCCTTGAAAAATTTACTTAAAATTCAAGACATGGGAACATCTCTAAAAGGGGCAAAAAAAGATACTTACCTTGCAGGTTGTTAGGAGAAAAAAAGATGTCAAAGTCCACGAAGGACCCTAGGACATGGCTGACATGCCCATCTCGCTAACACCATTATGTTGAGCAATGATTTTTGAGATAAAACAAAAACAGTAAAGAATACATACGTAATGGAAGTGAAAAGAAACAGATGTACTTGTCTAATTTTGCAAACTGTAAGCTGTTTTCTTTCCTACAAAAGCGGTTTGTCATTTTGCTTCTCTGTGGTCACTAAACTGAAGTTTTGTGGTTGCCAAGCAGAGTTTCTGGAAATATCCAAATAGGGTACTTCTCTAAATTACTCAACTCATCCACATGAGCGAGCACCAAAGCTAGTTGTTTAAAACTCCAACTGCCAAATGAAATGTCAGTTGTACCCCATTCTGGGATTATGTGGATGATGGGGAGTGATAATCCTTGTATTCAGGATTATTAGTTACTGACCATGATGATAAGCCCATTCGATCACCATAGTTATCCCTGTGATTAAAAGGGATCAGTGGACACAGAAAAATAAGTGTCTTCCTTTGATGATCAACTTTTTAAACCCCCAGCTCTGAGTTCTCCCACGGCGCAGGACTGCATTTCCAAACTCACTGTACACATAG